CGCGTGAATAGGGCCGAAGTGAATTGCTCTGGTATCGTCGGACGTCTAATTATGCAACACGCACAACTGTTGCAGAACACAAACTTTGATCAGCGACATCGGAAATTCAATAAGACCATATTTTAGTAAGTTGGGGCATATTAGGCTAGAGTTTGTGCTGTTTAGCGCAGGTCGTTTGTTAATGAATATTTATAAAAAAACTGACTTTCATTTATGCTTCAAGCTTAACACTGACGGACGTCTAAGTTGAAGTTGGCATATCACAGGCGGGCGGGCGGGCGGGCGGTGGAGATGCATTGCGAATGTGGAGGAAAGAAGATGAGATTTGGCCGATGTCGTTGGATGTGCATCTTAGTGGCACATCCCCTATCCAATCAGATATCTTCTACCTCTGCTGCAAATGAGGTCAAATTCAAAACGCCACTATATTTGAAATTAGGAAAACATATATGCACACGCATTCAACAGTCATGACCAAGGCACGTTTTCAAAGTACGTATATGGCAGAGGAGGCGATGAATTCCGAAGAACAAATTGCATCCGACTACGGCCATTTTTCCATTCGAGGCTGATCGACGAGTTTGGGACCCCAAATTAGCAGCCCGAACAGAGTTGTAAGAGGTCCTCCAGAGACACACTTATTGGAGCCTAGGGGTACTGCTGCTGCTGTCTATCAATTCATTGTCGACCAGTCTGTTTGATTGGTGTGCCTGGATTGCAAATGCATGGAAGGAGTATGCCAACGTGCTATTTCATGATTCAGTCGACAAATACAAGTTAGCTTGTTAGTTCCAACTTATGCTCAAGTGCCGACGCCTTGTTAAATGTCATTTTCTTTGCAATAGCTTCCACGATATCACCAGCCACTTGGATCACTTTGGAGGGCCTCCTCTTGCGAGGTGCTCCTTGGTACTGTTCTAATGACCGTGGAATACGAGGTTGTGCTTCAAGTAGAGTGCTTTCTGATGGCGTCGTTGTCGGATGTCCATTTTACCCGGTCATTTGTATCCGGCCTTCTTGCTGGACGCGATTCTTTCAAATGACTTCACCTCGCCTGCCGAAGTCACGATTGCATCGAGAGTGTCCAATAAAGCCGTGTGTCAACGCTGATTGTTGGTGAGTTGTTTTGTGCGGTTTTAAGTTCATTTGGCTTTTGGTTTGCTTGTTGGTTGTCTGCACGATGAGCCACAAAGATAATAGCTAAAATTTGAGTATTTTGAAAATGAGCTGCGCGTTGTGGTCTAGTTATTGCCTTCTTAATGAGAATATGATTCTTGTGATTGACGACAGCCGACAATCTGAAAATGGCGATAGTGGATCTTCATTAACACCGTGTGTGAGATGTTATTGGGTTGGTACCTGGGCATAATGCTCTGCGTGGTCTTTGACGAAAGGTAACCAGGCGCTAATGTTGATACCTGGATAATGAGGGGAAATAGTTTCAGCGGCTTTGAGGTGAAGGGATTACCTCTGAGACGTGGAGGCCTTAGTAGCCACCAGGACTCATTCGTAGCCATGAAGGCAAACACATTGCGGGTACAATTTCCGTCAACCATCAACATTATTGCATTCGTTTCACATACATTTACTTCACGCTCTTATACTGAGGTAGAATAATTCGTCCCATTCAACATGTCAGTCTTGAAATATTCGTTGGAGTCATTCCGAGTATTGCCAATCACAACTTAAGTCATGCCCATTGGACAGTCAATGCACATGTTCCACGCTCTTTCCGTAGGTCAAATCCGGTAAACCTGTATTTTGTTGCGAGCGTTTGCGGCTTATCATTCACAACATTCTTTGCTGTTGTTGTTGTTATAATATCCTTTGTAGGTTGACGCGTGGGCGTTCCGCACTCTACCGGATTGTGCTTGGTCTTCTGATCTGGCGACTTTTTCTGCTTTTCTTCTCGTAGCCATTGTTCACAACCAGTCCTTTCTCCATAAACGGAAGTCGACGTTTTGATCTCCAAGAACCAATTATATTCCATGGAGTTTACGACAAAGCCGCTAGCAATGTATTTATATTCACGCTGACGCATCAGCCTGGACGATTACTCAAGTGTCAATGTCTTGACGATAAGGCGCCAGTGTCGGTTCATCAACTGTACCAGCACACCTCGGTGCAGCAGCAGCAGCAGCTAAAACACAGCAACTATTGTGCAGGTAACAGGCCAAATTCCGTCGCATGCACTACGTTCGTAGAGATACAGATCCGTCAATGACAAACATGGACTTCATTTCCAACTACTAGAAAATTATCCCATGATTTGTTAAACTAAACAAGGGTTACATAAGAGCACGATTCAGGCATCGCACAGTCACGAAGACGTCTGCAAAATGTCCCTTTCACTCAACGCCACTCCACTTCCACTCTCGATCGTCTGAATTATTTTATTTAGAAGAGTTTAAACGTGCACGCAAGCACAATAAATGGACATTACAAAGTCGTTACGTGACAGGAACGTCAACAGCCGTGAGGCCAATGAAATTCTAACCTATAAATATGCTTTTGAACTGCCATCGATGCAGTCTCCAAAGATGGATGAGAAGACGGCTGCGAATGAATTGTAGGGGCAGGGAGCAAGAGATCAAACGCTGAAATAATTGTGGACGCCACATACTGGTGTGTTTTTCATTTCATTGACAATTGGTGCATTTGATTGGAGTGCTGGCTTCGCAGACGCGTTGCTGGGGAATTCCAACGGTGGCCGACCCATTTGCAGGTGTTCTCTGTTTCTGACCTACAGGGAAGTAATTAATTCAGTACTCTATTTCAACATACCGTCCAATGCCGACGCATCGTCAAATGTAAGGTTCTGCGAAACAGAATTGAAGCCATCTACCGCCACCTTGGTAGCATTTATGTTGCTGGGTGTGGCCTTTCTTTGGGCGCCTGGACACACGTCATTCTGCACAACCCGCGGTGGCGTTTTGAATGAGCCGTCATTTGGCGCAGTTGTCGAAGCAGTTTCTGGTCTGCTAATCTGCATTCGTACACGCGATTCGCCTGAAGCTGTTGGCCTGACGAGCCGATTGCCATCATGTATATCGGTTACTTGCTACTCATTTACGTTCTCTTATTTGGTGGTGTTCAGATATGATGTAGGATTGACCATTGAGATGTGGGACTGCTGTGATTGCCTACTTCTCACCTACTTCTCTCCACTATTTCGAACTCAACTATACCAATGGTAAAAGTGCAATATTCAGCATGTAATTGGATCAACATGCAGACACCCTAGTAACAAACCAATAGCCAATTGACCGTGAAACCGCACAAAACGGCACCCCACAAATCAGCGTCGAGGCCGAGTTTCATTGGACAGTCTCGATATAGACGTGAATTCGGCAGGCGAGGTGAAGTCATTGGAGAGAATTGCGTCTAGCGAGAACGTCGGATACAAATGAGCGGGCAACAGGAACAGCCGAAAACGACACCAGCGGAAAGCGCTCCACTCAAAACACCACCTCCGATTGCACAGTCAACTGAACAGTGCCCTGAAGCGCCTCGCAAGAGGAATACCTCCGACGTGATCCAAGCGTCTTCTTGTGTCTCGAAAGCTATTGCAAAGCAAATAACATTTGAGAAGGAGTCAGAATATGACCGTAAGTTGCAGCTAAGTAGCCAACTTTTTTTTCACTATCAAATTTTTCAAATGAATCATTATCAAATAGCACGTTGACACGCTCTTTCCGTGCATTTGCAATTCAGGCACACCAATCAAACAGACTGGGCGACAATGAATTTGCAGGCAGCATCATCATCATCATCAGCAGCCCGATGCTCCAACAAGTGTGTCTCTGGTGGACCCCGTGCAAGCCTTGTTCACCTGCTAATGTGTGGTCCCAATATCGTCAATCATCCTCGAATGGAACAATGACAGAATTTGGATCCAATTTGTTCTCCGGTTTTCATCGCCTGGTCTGCCAGTAACGTACTTTGAAATTCTGATTTTGCTTTGAAAGTTGAATGTGTGTGAATGAGCAATTTACCTATTGCAAATATGGTATAGTAATAAACTAATTGCGAATGCTCACTGGAATTGTGCGTCATGGGATTACGTATTTCAAATATGATATTCCAATTTAATAGGATTAAAAGGTTTACTGGAGTTGTTTGGGGTAGGATTTGGCTGAAGAGTGCTAGTGACTGCCTGTTCTCACACTTTGTTGAGGTGTGGTGCTCTATGGTTGGCTAGATGGCCCGGCATTTTGCTGATGCGCTGATTTACATGAATGCGTAGACAAACGGCTAAGAACCAGGATTTAGGGACTTATTGTGGTCAATCAAAGATCTAATGACCTATTCGGAATATACCTAAGCTAAAACTGCAAACTGTGGAAGCAAGGGGCGTGTCAGGTTGTTGAGTTGCATTCATCCCTCCACCGTCTTTGATTATCCAATGTGCTTTATACTACACTCTTCTCACTTATGGTTTTTCAATTAGTGTCCGGTTTGGTGACACACTGAAGATTAAGTTGGACAGAGAAAATGACTAAAGCTATTCCTTATTAGGGTGTGGTTTATGAATTCAAAAGAGTCGCAATGCACAAGGGGATATTTACAAATATCCCGTCGAATATGTATTTCGAGTTAGATTAATGTATCGTAAGCCCATGCTCTCTCTACGGAGATTATCTAAAAACGATTCATGCTTTGCTAGTATCTAGTTTCAGTACAGTTTGTGCTGGAAGTGAAGACGGACTATGCAATTATGCTTTGCTGCCCAAGACTTTATTTGTTAATCGTTGCGATGTGAAGCAGCGAGATCGCTACTTGGTACAAATTAGGCCGTTAGATATGTCTCCACAGTCGTGTTTTTTCAAGCCTTTTATTTGATTGTGCCACACTAAAGTGGTAAATTATCAATCGGAACGCACAGTGGATATGACAAGCACCTCACCAACCTTAAATACGCCCCTTGACGCCAAGTGAAATACACTAAATGCACACACAGGCGCAGTTATCGTTGGTTCTAAACCAATTTTATGATCTCGTTGGTGCGCACGAGCTGCTACATTTCTTGCATGAAGTGACTCAATTTTTGTTGCTTAACAATTGGGAAAGAAATGCTTGCACGATGCCCTCTAACCAATCAGACGCCTGCCAACCGCTTGGTTATCTTGATTTGTGACCTCCAACTAAGCACAAGCCATCACCATGCGGTTGACAAAGCGGTAGCGGCAGCCTTGGAAGGAATATTTCGCTTATGTGCGGGTATAGTTTCTAGTTAAAGGCCACTACCAGTGGACATATCGCCATGAAGCTAAATGTTCTGTCATAATTAAAGACATTAGTTGCAAAAATAAAATAGCTGCATCCCAATAAAACACAATGGCAGTGACTTTTTGCCTGTGATTAATGAAATCGACGATACCTGAATCGTGATCACGTGTGAAAGTGATGGGTCTTGATCCTCGTTGACGTAGCGTGTGATTTCGATGCTGTGTTGCTACCTGGGTATAAGTAGCCATGCCCTGGTTGCCGTCTGAAGACGAGGTATTAATGCGGTTACTGAGATACTTAGGTGGCAACTATGTCCTAGGAAAGTGTGAAATATATGTTTTTACTGAGCCATTGTGGCGTGAATTCTCACCAGGACTAATGCCTCCGCGTGAGTTCAAAGACATTTCTGAGACGCTGTTTGGCAATCAGCTAATATGCGTTGCGGATGGTCAATTCTCTATTGATTCGGTTAATGATTTTATCACGATTAGCCAATGCATACATAAATGCTGCAATTCTGTGTGCGTAATGCTCTTTCCACCGCTCTGACAGTACGCAGGTACAATCGGCTTCACATCAGACATTGCATTTAGGCATTGAAGAATTCTAGATCGGTTTCGATGTGGATCCTTGTAGTGCCAAGATTGACAATATCACGACAAATTTGCAAGTCTTCTTAAAGCCATTTTACGCAGCGGTAGGATTTAACCAGTAGTATGTCTGAATGTGAGTGCAACCGCAATGTGATATGTATCGTAGCCTTCATTCATCGATGTTGTCAGGTCACCATAGCAACAGGTAGGAAGATTAGTGTTTTGTGTCAACTTAGAAGGCGCCATTGGTTGGTGCGTGTTAACGCAGTAGTGGATTGATGTGTTTAGTCCTTGGGACGTAGAGATGCGTGAATAACGATGACGCGACACCGTAGCACGATGCAACCACCGATAAATAATTTGCGAATGTGGCCGTAACTTAAATGTATGCAATATTGATTTAAAGAGCAATTGCTTTGCCAATTTAAACCAAATGAACCAGAGGGCATTCGTGCATTTAGCTGACTCAATAGTACCCATTCTGACATTCGAATAATGCTGAAAGCATTTGCAAATTAACCATTCCAATTCATTTTTCTGCCATGTACCACAAACACAACCACCTTCACGGAAACACCTTTGACTAAATCACTTTGTCTTATCGAATTTTTTTCACGTGCAGATGTCACAATGGGGCTAAACGTACGTCAAGTGAAATCACCGTTGCTTACGACCATTTCTGCTGCTAAAAGAAAATAACTTACCTTTGTGTTTCAATGATTTTTAGGCGAATTTCTGCCAGTTGTGCCATCATGCGTACGTCTCAGCTGTCATGACTACCCAGTCTCCAATTTTTAAACGATAAAACGAAGAGACAATGTTTGACACCAATAAACCCGGCAACAAACAAAGCACACTCGTCACCGCAACTGAAGTCGAGACCTGTCATTTTCAAACGTCCCGCTGCGCCCGTCACATAAAGCCTTAATTAACTCTACAATTACTAACACAGAAAACAATGCCGTATTGTTTTGAAAGCCTTTAATGGACTACACTGTGGTTACATTGATACACGATTCCGCTGGCCGAAGGTCACTTAATTCGACAAGAACCTATGCGCACCCACACGCACACACTGCCATTAATCATGCACAAGCAAGTTGGAGAGCAAGTCGGAAGGGGGCATTCTCGTTTATTCAGCGAGTCATCGGTTGTGTGCACTTCCACTGAGAAAGCATAAACAAGGAGGTCAGGGGTTGTGTTCACATCTGATTGGCTAGCATGCACTGTGCAATAATAGTGTACGCAATCACTTGAGTAATTTCAAGCACGACATGCAGAAGCACGTGTGCACTTACCAGAACTTAGCTACCTGTTTAAAACCAACTAAAACGCATCTGGGGTGTGCCTCAGGGGTTTGTTTATGTGCACTGCATGATGAATCTGGGTTTCGTGAGGTTGGCATAATTATTGAACACTTTCAATCTCACATGTTTGCTCTGCATCGGTTTGCGGAATTTAGTTGTGGGTTAATAAATCTGATCTGAGACCGCTTCTACCCTCACTTTCACTGAAGGCACCAACCCGCAGTGAAAAGTTGTACGCATAACGGGAGCACTTGCAAGAGCCGCGAGGAAAGTGCGGGGTCTAAATGAGGTGAAATTGGATGTGCAAAGAGCATCTAACCCACAGCCCCCAATTAGACAGCTGCTTTCAGTCAAATTTCTTTGCGTCGGAGTTAATTTATCAAGATAACGTTGACATTTGGATGCTTCGAATCCGATTTCTGTAAAGCCCTTTGCAAATGTCCGCTACTTCCATCGGACAGGTCTGGTTAAACGTCGACGTGGCAAGATAACGCGACATTATATTCAATCATAAAAAAAGTCAAAAATAAGGAATCGCAATCAGCTTCGTAAAGGACTGTGTTCACGGCCTTGGGTCACCACGAGAATGACCAAACAGTGCCAGCTTTTGCCTCTAATTGGAATATCGATATCGATTTGGGCGTCGCTATGATTTGGGGTGGTCGTTGGAGGCATTGGTCTTGTTAGCTTTCGCCACGGAAGCCGGTAAGCGTTTTTCAATGGGAATGAAAAGGACATTGCTGCCTCCAGAGGCAGGGTTGCACGGGGAGCTTTTTTTGCCGAAATACGCCGGGGGTGCCTTTCGGCTGTGGGGAGGGCTCAGCTCAATCTCGAATGCAAGGGCCTGCAACCGGACACACAAAGCTTACTTAGACGACATCAGTAGAGAGTTCGCTTAAAACGGGTGCAAAACCAACCTTTCGAACCACCGCCTGAGAGGGTTTCGATGAGGCATCAGAATGGGGCTTATCTGCGGTGGAGGGGTCACCGGAAATCGTGGTCTGATCCCTTAGATTTCTGCCTTGGGTGGAATCTGAGGAAACGACGTTTGAGGCAGCCACTGAAGTCGGCTGAAATTAAAAAAAAAATATTTGCAATTCGCTAAATACTCAGTTGCAAAATTTGTAATATTGCTGAGTGCACCAAATAATTTCAATAGAAATGGAGGAAGTTGAAGACTCAGTGTTCAAGAAGACTAAATTTGTAAAAATGATCAGATTACAAATGATCATTTTAGCTGACATTCAATCACCTTTGTGGCACTGCACGGCTATCGAAATAGCATGATACTAAGACAACGAATTCAGCAAAGCTTTTCTTCGACCAGGCCTCGCTTACTTTAACGATTTGGGTGACTCGCTGCGCAGTTGCACTCGGTCGGACATTGGCTGATGACAGATCGATGCGCTCGGCACCAACGATTCCCGACGCGCCTGTGAGCAACACCTCAGACACTGACTGAAGCTTCTTCGGATTGATTGACAGGTCGGCCGGAGATGGAGACTGCACGCCTGTTGTCGTCGTTGTTGTTGGTAACGGTCTGGATGCGGCATATGATGATGACGATATCGCGCCAGCTTGTGAGTGGTCGCCACGAGTCTTCTGAACATTCTTCAAGACTGTCACAAACTCGTTTATACTGCATAGCTGATGTGAAGTAAGAAAAGCAGATTACGAAAATGCAAGACTGTATCCGACAGCAACCCATCTGAGCCAAATAATAGCCCGAAACTACAACGTGCTGTGGAACACCACCAACAGACCTCAACCCGACGTAACCACTGCCAACTCTCCCAAGTTTATGGCTCTCAACTGACACTGCGAAGGCATAAGCAAGGAGGTCAGGGGGTGTGTTCACAACTGATTGGCTAGAATCGACAGTGAAAACGTGCTGTGCCTAAACATTTGTGTTGTTTTATGGACGACATGCAAAGGCATGTGCGCACTTACAAGACTTCAGTTATCTGTTTAAAACCAACAAGAAAGTATCTAGCGTGTGCTTCATTGGCTTGTTAATTTGCACTGCTTGGGGTAGCTGTGTTTGGTAAGGTTGGCATGATTTTTTAATTTAATGTTTAAATCTACGGAAATGCATCGAGGGTGTGCTTCAAGGGTTTGTTAATGGGGCTAGTGTAGACACTATCAGCTCCAGTGGTAGGCATGGAGGTGGAGGTCCATTTGCTGGCACACACAGCGGATGCCTTTCGGAATTATTTGTTTGACTAGCGGCGGACATATCAAGGCTGTTTTATAATCTAGATACAAGATGCATTGTCTTGTGGCACGTTTGCCAAAATTGAAATATACAATTCACAAGAAGTGTGTGAAGAATTTTCCGCACTATAATGCATCACATGAGCTAAAAGGTACTATCTTCAGTTTCGCAAAAAAATATATACTCCTCGCAATAATTCGCTGCGAGAATGACGAGCCAAGTCTAGCTGTTGATTGCTAACCACAGTTTTTAAATGTTGGCCGTGTCGACCTGTAGCTAACGATTCGTCATTGGCCAAAAGTCTTCTATGGAGTGATTACATCGACTTTACTTTACCTTAGGCAATAAATGCCTAGATTATAAATGCTTTAGTGATATGAATGCAATAGTTGTGGGAATGACAAAATGGGCCCCTTGACGCAAATTGCTACAACGCAACTGCAAATCAGCGTTCCCGAAAGGCTATCGAGTGTCTATTAATGTGTGAGTATTGCAGGCTCGTCACGAGATCACAGTGACTTTGACAAATATTAGTTTGACTTATCTATAACACACCTCTGTTAGCACTCTTGCAACTGATCTATTTTAATTAACAGGCCGATGGCCATGAAAGTCACAGAGAAAATCGCACAGAGGAACATGAAAGCTCGCAAAAGTTTAATGCATTCCTGACTCACTGGCCCACTTTGAGACACATCCTCCATTGTCGCCTCTCGACCGTCTGGAGCCTGACGCCAACTCTCCAAAACCTGGCTCGCAATTTCTCTGGATATCAGACCCTCTGATTGAGGCATCGCCTCAAACAACTACCCATACAAACCTGCATTACTTGGCGCTGCTTGGTAAAATTCCATTATCCATGCTAGAAAATTCGCACATATTAATCAGTCCTTTAAGGAGAATAGACTGCAGTCCATAGAACGCTCTATTGCAATTTGAATAATAAATTTGCTAAATGTAATAATTTACTATGCACAATGGTGTGTTTAACTAAAATATCCTGCGACGCATAGAACAGTCATCTAGGAAAGTTGACTAATGTGTATTTAGCTGGTCTTAACCCGTTTCCTTTTATTTTCTCTGCAGTAACCGCACGAAAAACATGACGCATCAGCTAGCGCTCTAAACTACAGAACCTCTGCTGCAAAGTCAATTATACCTGTGTTCATGTAACTACAATAGCTTACAGTATCTTTATCTAGGAAACATGAGCTTATCGATGGCGATCACTACTTATGGCGTCACATGGCGGTGTTTGGTACCAGAGTACAAGCGTGAACGACTTTTAGCACCGTTACTCTTTATTCTCTCAGAGTCCACTGTGGCTTGGTCACCACTCCTCAGTTTGTTGGCCAAATACTCCTTAATTTGATTTATGCGTGCGATATTATGAAAGATGGTGACATTTACTGGCCTACCAAGAAACACACATTCATCGACTTTTAGTGGAAAAAGACACATTCTCCTTAAAAACATGCCTTGTTTCTTTAGTAACGCCTAGTTCTACAAGCCACCCCTTTATGCTTAAACATGAAGCCTGGAGGGAGCGTTAAGCAATTTGCTTGAATTGGAACATTGCCGACAGAATCTCATGACTATTGTGACTGCTTCGGTCTGAAAAAGCTTGCGTTGTAAATGTTTGTAAGACATAATATGCATTTTGGACAATTTGATATGTACATTTAATCGATGTAACGTTTGAGTCAACAGTAACTGTATTATGCAAAACTCACTGTTCAAGAAAATTTGAACTTTCGATGGTTACACAAGGAAAAACATCAGGAATACCGCGGCATTCACCATTCCAAATACTGACAGTCTTGCTGAAATTGACGTAGTCGTGTAGATTTCCCCAGCAGGAGGATAGCACTGATTCAGGTGACAGAGATTACCTGCAGGACAATCAGTACAATTCTTGCCCATTTCGCAAGGCCTTTCTCTTTCTATATCACCACAAAGATGACACAAAAGTCGTCAGTTAAAGTCCTTCCATCGCTTATAAATTTAGTTCAACTAATCACTACCAGTAATTTGAGTGTATAGGGCGATCAGGCAATGCTTCTTTTTTATAAACTGTATTCAAACAACTGAGATTGTGACCTGGTGTTTTGAGGATGAATGCCAAGTTTTAATAAGAACGCATCTAGTTAGTGTTACATGCATAAAATTGGACTGACTTACGAGGGTTCGAATATGCAAGCTGTACGTTCAGCAAAATAATATTTATATAGGCAAATATGTTTTGCGCAACCCACTTGTGTTGAATTCGCCCATGCCACCTTAATATCAACAAAAATAAATGCAAAATACAAGAATGCTGCCTCATTATGCTTTTGTGTTCTACCATGAATTTTCATGTGTCTAGTCACAGTTGCTTGATTGGACTTAATCAGCAATAGTCTATCAAATCAACGTCTACATCAGTTACCCTATTTCATATTTATGCTACTCTAGTACAGGATTCAACGTAGTACGGCTTCAAGCAATTTTAAATGCGTGCTTGTAAACTCTTTTTCTCAAGAACTAATACCAGAATTTCTTTCTCTAATACAGCTTTGCCCAAGGGGCCCAATAAATGCTCAGCCTGAAAATACATTTAAACGTTGTAGAAAGTTTTTGACATTCAAGACACAAGTGCAAATATCAAAAAAACATTTTGTAGTTTCATTTGATTTAAAAGCCGAAACCAAAAAGTTGCCTTTTACCTGCCTACTTATAATTGTAACAAGCAAAAGAAAAACAATAATTATTGGTAAAATTGTAGTTATCCTTCTCAGCCGAAAAATTCTTGAGATCAACAAAAGACAGGGCATTATTTAAAGTACTTGATAAAAATATGCAATCCATTCCTGCATAATCCGGGTAATTAATTCCATTAGGAAAGATTTCGGTACAATTTTTCAACCATGCCTCCGTCAAATTTTCCAGTTTAAACGAGTAATTCTAAAGGGATAAAGAGTCGTTAAAAAAACGTTGGCACCATGAATCACTGATGCATCAGTAAAAATTAAAACAACAGAACTTGATGTGTTAGCGAAAAGATGCTTCGGTATTTACGATGCCATCTCTTCCATAAATCAGGATAATAAATTAACGTACCAATAGCATCATGTTCTTGGCAGGTGGATCAACTGTTTCCCATATTGACGTTAGGATCTCCATAATTTGATCTCGTTCACTGGCATTTGGAGTAATAGCCACTGCGTTCCAGGTAAACACCAGTAGACAGATTATGGACTGCATTATTTCAGATTTCTATAGACTGACACTGCACACAATCAAATGTCGCCCTAAGATTGTCAGAAGAATAATGGTTAGTAAGATAAAAACTGATTGTTAGACAAAATGATGTGAACTTCAATGAAAATATGTGTTGTGCCTCATTAGGAGTTGAGTGCAGCGTCAAATCCTGCGCTAATTGGTTCAACAGTGCTCATGATACTCTCGATTGCGTGAAGCTGAAGATGTCGCTATTTGCCGAATGATTTCATTTTAGGTGCGCAATTTATGACTGAAAAGCCAGTAAAATAAGCGAGAGGTGGAAATTAAAGCTACCTTTCATGTGATTTTTATGACATATGCAACTGCGGGCATCTAGTTCACTGTAAGTGAAAGTGAATTCTCTAGCGGCACACGAATATACGAAAGATCAGGATTATCGGTTTCATTCATCTGTGTTATTGAGAATTTTTCTACAAGCCTACTTAAATGGGAACGGTCACATTGTGCGGTAAACAGAAAAAGTAATGGAACAGTTTCCAAACTTTGTTATACACTGCCTAGGTGTGAAGCAAAACAAAACATTGGCACCTATCTCATTCATTTGTTCATTTTTCAAGATGTATAATGGAGCTGACGCATGCAATCTGTCCAAAAATATCACCGTGTCCTCTTCCCGAATCCAAAAATGAACATTTCAATCTGTTTAAAAGTGTTGAATCATTCCGTCATTCCTCAGTCAAGAGTTGTTAGTGACGAGTGCAACTAGTGGAATGAGTCCTAGTTCAGAAGTAAAGGTACATCTAAAAAAAATATGCAGAAACAGTTTTATCAATTTTTTTTAACAGACAACAACCGTGCACTTCTTATGTTTGTTCTACGAACGTATCTCTTGGGGGTTTCAGCAATACCAAGTGCATCCTCCATTATTCAATTAAACACGAATTAATTTAGTCTTGTCAAGCATTCTGCGCATTAATGTCTACTTATAGGCTATGAAAATTGAATTTGCCACGGCAGATATTTCCACTAAACCAGCTTACCTTAAGGGCAAAAATCACGGATCGAATATGTATTTGTATTTAAGGTGTCAGTTATGAGGACACATTCGAAAATTTAAAACAGGTGCGCCTATAGAATAGCGTGTGAGTGGGTCGTTTTTCTTAGACTTAACCTATTTTCTTTTAATTACATTCAATGGAAAAATGTTACTGCACTCAAATGGATGGATCAGTCAAATACCGCGGAAAGCAATTTGGGGTAGACGACATACAAATGAGGTGGGTATTGATTGGTATTGCGGAAGTCAATTTCACCTAGGTTTAATAAGAGAAATCACCGCAATTGCGTAACATGCAATGTAATTAATTTACGTGAGGAAATGTGAATGCACACATGCAATCCTCACGTGACTTTGTGACGTGTCATCTGACATAACGAAAGACAATTTAGTTGGGTTACTGCGACATCACTAGGAGACGCTGGAATCGCAGCAATCTAAACGATGAGGTGAAAAAACATCGATTGAACACTACACGTCATTGCTCAACCCGTACATGATTGTGTTAGGCATTAGAGGTCTCCGTTGTCTTATGTGAGAGCACTTTTTCTAGAACATTTTTGTGCTTCGATTGCATGCTTCCTTGAATAAGCTGTCTTAGACATACTCTCTCATTCCACTTCCCCGACGCCAATATGAGTAGATTTGTTTAGGTAATTGTGAGTCTACTGACTATCGTCATTTGCAATAGAAATATTTTAATGATAATTTCATGACAAACAAAATAAGGCACTTCCTACCATGACACTACGGTTACGTGTTGCTAATTGTACACAGTATACTTATC